CACTAGTTTAAACTAAAAGGGAGAAAGGCTATTTAGGTATTACTAATAACATTGCGTATTCATAAGTTCAGTAACAAGGAGATATCGAATGGTAATTGAAGTATTTGTGAATCGTATTAAGCAATTCAATGCTGGCTGTTAAATGTTACTCGACTGAGTAACAGGGTCAGGGTTCGTGGCATGACACTATGAACAGGAAACGCTCTTAAGAAACCTAACAACTGAAGACCCATACTTTCAACTAGAATTACATGATTTGCGACCAAAATTTCCTCGGTGTTTCATTGCTTTCTGCAGTATTTGGTGTGCTGATCACAAAAAATGACTTCCAATGTCATCCCAGACCTTTACTTTTCCAAATATTTACCAATTTTGGACCAAAATTTTTACATCGAGTTTTACATAGTTTCCTGCAGTTTTTGGTGTGCTGATCACGAAAATGACTTCCAATTTCATCTCAGACCTTTACTTTTCCAAATATTTACCAATTTCGGACCAAAATTTTTACATCGAGCTTTACATAGTTTCCTGCAGTTTTTGGTGTGCTGATCACGAAAATGACTTCCAATTTCATCTCAGACCTTTACTTTTCCATATATTTACCAATTTCGGACCAAAATTTTTACATCGAGTTTTACATAGTTTCCTGCAGTTTTTGGTGCGCTGATCACGAAAATGACTTCCATTTTCGTCTCAGACCTTTACTTTTCCAAATATTTACCAATTTCGGACCAAAATTTTTACATCGAGTTTTACATAGTTTCCTGCAGTTTTTGGTGTGCTGATCACGAAAATGACTTCCAATTTCATCCCAGACCTTTACTTTCCCCAAAATTTACTAATTTGTGACCAAACTTTTAAAATTGAGTTTCACATTGACCCTGTATTGGCCTTACTTTGCATATATTCTTCACCATCTTCTACAAGAATACAGACGCATCGCTCGCCTACTACGCGCCCAAACAAAACGGCGCGTACCCCTAGTTATTTAGTGCTCGCAAGGCAAGAGACACAACCTTTTGGTTTGTCCCTTTCGACGGCTGCTGTAAAATTGAGGAGCGTCACTGCGCCGCTGTTGACACGGCCGAAGCGAGCCGAAGCGTGTCGCGGTTTGTGACGTCCGCGCCGCTGCTGCAGACAATGCCGATGGCTATCGGCTCATGACGGCGCATTCACTTTTAACTCTGTTTGCCGATATCGAGCCGCCGTCGGTGTACTCAAGCCGTCGCCTCGGCGCGGCGGGGCTGGCGGGGCTGGCGGGGCTGGCAGCCAGGGCGTGTGGACGTCACGCTGCTAAGAATGGCGGCACCTCTGCGCCTTATTCATGTCGGTGGACGCCGCGGACGCGCGCCTCCGCCGCTTCCCGCGGTCAACATGGCATCGACGCCAGCGGTCGCGACGCTGCCTAGGATATACCTCACAGCCCGTGCGTTTCTTCGTTCCATCAGTGTAGTGTCAAAGTTTGCCGTGCTGTCGGGGGTCCGGAGGCGTCCGGAGGCCCGGGTCGGGTGGCTGAGTGCCTGGGGGCCTCCTTGGCCGCGGCCCGGTGCGGTGTGGTGTGGTTCCCGGAGCCGAAGGGCTGAGGCTGAGCACGCCGGGGCGGGCAGGCCGAGGGCAGGCCGTCGTCCCAGAGTCCCAGGGGCCGCACCGCTCGGCGCCGCTGGGGAGGGGTCTGCGTGCGTCGGAATCGCTGCTGAGTAGCCTCGGCTCGCCTCGGCCCGACCCTGCCCTGCCGCCCGCGCGGTCCGGTCCCTGCTCCCTGCCGGCGACTGGGGACCGCCGTCCTGGTGCGCGCCGCCCTGGTGCCTCCTGGTCCCCCGGGTGGCCGTCGGGGCCGAGGGGAAGGACAGGCGACCTCGACCCTCGCAACGCCGTAATCGCGGCCCCTGAAGTTGCCGCTGTAGTGGCGCCGCCCCGCCGGCCTCCCCGAGGTGCACTTTGTGGCAGCCTGGCCCAGTCCAGCGACTGGCCCAAGCAAGCGGCATTGCAGTGCCGTGGCGTGGCGTCCAATGGCGAGGGTCATGGCCATCATGGCGCAGGGCCGAGATGATCGAGACGGTCGAGCCCCTGACAGCGATCCGCGACAGCGCTGACAGTGGTGGCGGAGCGGAGTCGCGCTGCAAACACTCCAAAAGGCGATCCGTGCTGTCACGAGTATCGCTCCGGTGCTATTTTAAGACTGAACGGCCCAGAACGCGCCTGCAGTGACAGTGGCCACCTGAACAACCACCACTGCCGAGCGGCGCGCGGGGCCACTGGCGACACGTCCCCGTCGGCGGCCAAGCGTGGCAGCGCCGGTCGACTGCCGCGGATCAAGTAGCCGTCGGCACGTTCGCGCCAAAAAATGCAGAGTCAGCGAGTCATCCCCGACACCGACACGTGCGAGGGCGGCCGGGGGCGGCTGGGGGCGGCCGGGGGCGGCCGGGGGCGGCTGGGGGCGGCCGGGGGGCGACACGACACGCACGCACCGCCTCCCCCGGGCTGGGCTGCCCGCCACCGACATGCAGTCAGGCAGCGATAACTCGATCAAGACGTCATTTCGAGTTGTCATCGCGACGTGGGCGGGGCGGGGCGGAGCAGGGTGGGGCACTGTCAGCGAGTCGGACGGACGGACGACCGGGCGGCACCACCAGCACTGCCAGCACCGCCAGCGCGACGTGACCGACCATGTCGCCTGCCTGGCCTGCCAACGCGAACGGAATTCATTGTCGCACGGCGCTAGCGGCGATGCACGGCGGCCAGGAGCGACACGCACCGCGGTGGCGGCGACGCGGCGTCGGCGGGAAGGAGGGAAGGGTAGCGGCCGTACACGCGTTCGTTATTGCCCCCGGTGCCTTGCCTCGGCGGCGTCCTTGGCGGGCTCGGCGAGCTTGGCGGCGCCACTCGACTCCTCCAGGCGCTTGATGCCCTTGATGGCCCTCTGGGGGCCGCGCACGTACTAATCACACACGGGCAGCGCGGCAGCCCTGGCGGCAGCCTTGGCGGCAGCAGCAACACACATCACTTACGCGGCCCGGAGGGGAGCAACTTTGAATTTAACGGTGCCTGGAAATAGCTCGCCTCCTTTCATCAGCATCTTTCCGCCGAAGTGCTTCTCTGGGGCCCTCGGTGGCGTGCCGGGGCCGCCGGGCCGGGAAGGAGGCTGCCTGCTGGCGTGCTCGCTGGCGGGCTCGCTGGCATATTAAATGTTGGCGGTGACAAAAAGCGGCGGGGCGGCCGCCGTGTGTCTTTGAGCCCGTCGTCATGGAGCGCGGCAAAAACTGCAAAGACGGATCGGTTTAATTTAGCGTCGCAAGGTTGGCGTGCAAGAAGTGGGCGGCCCTCCGCGACGCCAGTCTTATTCCCGCTTCCGTCCGGGACGTCGCCAAGGAGCCCCAGAAGTTGGACGACGCGGCGACACTCGGCAGCGAGGCGGCAGCGAAAGCTGCAAAAACCGAAGCGCCTAGGCCAGCCTGCTGAATAGCGACTCATTGCCAGACCTTTGCCGGCGGGCAGAGTGGCTGGCCTCCAGGCTCGGCCTCCAGGCTCGGCCTCCAGCCTCGGCCTCCAGCCCGGCCTGTGCAAACGGAGAGCTTGTTTGCTCCAGCCGACGGGGTGGCCTCGGCGGCCTCGGCCGGCCACCTGGCGGTGCAGCAGCTCGGCCTTGTCCTGTCCGCTCTCATCAGGGCCTCGCGACTACCGCCGCGCCGCGTCGCCTCCGCTCGCCGTCCTGACGGTCTAATCCAGGAGGACGCGCGCCCCGTCCAGCGCCGTCGGCTCGCGTGATGCCGAACACGGGGTTGAAAAAAAAAAGAAGCAAGATTGCAAAACAGAAAGAAAAACTGAAGCTGCTGTTTGTATAAAATTTCCAGTGGTCGTTCCAGGAAGGACTGGACGCTTTGCCCGGTCAGCGCTGTCCGAGCGCTGCCCGCTTTTCTTCGTCGGCCGGGTGATTCCGCGCGTAGAGGGCGTTTTCGTGTCCACACCCTCCCCAGAGCGAACTTATTCGAGTGCAGTCCATTTATACACTTAAGAATCTTGTTTGGCACTAGAATAGCTTGTTCCCTTTGGATACGGACTTTCAAAGCTAACATGTGACGCGGGAGAGGGGCCAAAAGGGTCGATTTTGTAAGTTCCGTCATGTCCATTCGCACCTTACACCAACTTTGCGGCTCTATAACCCTGCGTTCCATTCAAATCTTCGAATTCCACACACACCCATCAAATCTTTAACTAATAGTGACTATCTTGCTTGAATGTGAAGATCGTATATTGATTGGAACTGTACTTTCAGAACGCGTACTAAATGTCCACCGTACTCCGACTTTTACCTTAGCGGTTTCAAAGTAAGCACCAAAAAAACTACTAGGAGTGCTTCCTGCTCAAAACCACCGCCGTATTCAGAATCAGCACGGTCTGTTTACCACATGAACGAATTTCGGTGGTGAAAAAGTGACGGGGGTGAGTGTGCGAGTGGAAGTTGTGTGTGTAATCGGTGGGTTGTAACAATTGGTGTAATTTCCGTATGCCCCTCTCGCTCCTCGTCTATTGGGTTTTGAAAGACATCCTACACGTGAAAAGATGTGTCTTGACGTCGAACTAGTGTGCCAAACTTATGGCATATTTCTGTGGCGATATGCAGTTGCAGTGAGCCAGAAACACCTGTTTGTAATTTCCGTGAAGCGTAATTTCCGTCATATTTTCAGTTAATTTCGTCATATTTTATAGGGGGAGAAAACGAAAGTCAACTTTTAGCTCGCCCACGCGCAGAGTGTCTTCCTGGGGTTCAATTGATGCCATCTAGGCCAAATTCCGGCCGAACAAGCAGGATTGATTACTTGACTTTCTTAGGTGGCTAAAACGGCCCCTACGCACGGAATCACCCGGCCCCAACCAATCGCGCTGTTCAATCAAATGTCAGCGCGGACGTGCCGAGCGGTAATTGCAGCGACCCACCTGAATGGGGACGCCGCGCCACGCCCACGCCACTGTATACTCATCGTGCTTCTTTCTCTTTGCAGGCCTAACGGCGCCGCGGGACGGGGCGGCCTGACGCAGCAGATATGCCTTCGTGTAAGTATACACCCTGGTTCACCCGCCAGCGGTCGGGGAGGCCAGCTCAGGGGGAATCAACTGCTTTTGCACTCCATATATAGGAACGAATCAATATAGTGATGGGGTACATGTGTATGATTCGAGGGGGCGACCACATTGGGTGTGTGTGGGGACACAAGATTTCGTAAGGCTATAGCGATTCCGTCGGATTTCGCAAGATTTAAACTGATATACGCCCAAAATTTACTTGTTTTTGGCCTTTTGGGGGGACAAGATCTCAGATTTTAAAGATTTCAAGCGCTCAAGGGGTTGCCCCGTCGGTATGATTCCACAGGGCAATCCGTTTGGTGCCATTGTGTGCGGTTCGAGCCCTTTCAGAGCTGAAAACATGCCCTGTGTGCTGCGACTCGTTCTCCTCCGTTTTTATGGTGGAACGGCGGCGCTAGTTTTACAATCTGCGCGAAAGCGCCGCCGTCTCGCAAGTTTGGCGGTAACGAGCGGGCCGCCTCGCGACTCGCTTCGCTGCCTCGCCTTGCTCGCCGCGGCCCGCGCGCTCTGGAGCAAGCGCTGGAGCCTCCAGCCAGACTGGAGGGCCGCTTGGCCGCCTCCAGGTGCCGCGCCGCCGCGCCGCCGCCCTCGTCTCGGCGCGGCCATAAATTTGCCATTCCGGTTTTGGGCGTCTCGACTTTTTGCCAACGTCGGCACGGCAGCGCGGCGGCAGTGTGCTGGCGGCAGGGCGCTGGCGCCGGGTTTTGGTTTTGGTGCAACTTGAGCTGCCGCTGCACCGTCCCGCTGCTTTGCTGTTTAGCAACTTGCGGCAGTTTCCAAGGCCGCCTCCCTGATCACGCCCCCGCCGCCCCCGCCGCCCCCGCCGCCCCCGCCGCGCCACACTACCGCCCCCGGCGTGCGAATCCTGCCAGGTGAAGCTTTCAACGGCGATCGATCTAAGCAGCGGAGAATCTTTTCCTGCCGCCCGGCCTCTCTGCCGCTGCGAGCCGCCCGCCCCGCCCCGCCCCGCCCCTGTAGCCGCTGACCCCCGCGGTCGCCACAGTCTGGCAAACTCATCCCACAAAGGGACGCCAGCCGCGCGGCATACGCGCTCCGCCCCGGGCCCCCGGTCGCGAGGCGCACTCTGCTTGCCAAGGCGTCCCCGCCCGCCCCGCCCCGCCCCCCCGCCCCGCCCCGCCCCGCCCCGCCCCGCCCCCCGCCCCGCCCCCGCTAGATACCGAGACGGCAAATATTTGTGGAGGAGATCTGACACGCTGCCGCCGAGGGGAGAATTGGCTGCGGTGCCCTTGCGTATACGGGGAGGAAGAGAGAGGGTGGGCCGACGGCGTTGCAGCCCCTAGCGCCGCCAGGGCCAGGCGGCCCCACCCCAGCGCGGCGCAGCGCGCACCTTGCAGTGCAGGCACGGCGGTGCTGGGCACGGCGAGGCAGGGCGCGCCGCGCCGCCGCCGCGGCCCTCTGAACCATAAAACTAACCGCATCGGGCAATGAATGGAATTCAATCAGCCCAATGGATTGACCGAGCGCGCCGCACCCCGAGCCGCCCCGCCGCCACCGAGACCCGCCCCGTGCTCTGGGATTCCGACCACGCTTGCACCTGGTGTGTGCGTGCGTTGGAGCGAGAGGGAGGGCCGAGGAGAAGGCAGAGAGTAGAGGTTGCCGCCGCTGGCCAGCGAGTCCGCTTGGTTGTCGGCGACCCGACACCGATCGCTGAATGGACTGGAGCGCGGCCGACCCGCATTCAGGCGGCCGTGCCCGTGATGATCGCGGGGGTGGCAGGGCGGGGAGGGGCGGTGCACAGTGGGCCAGAAGGCCGTGGAGGCGGCCGGAACTCAAGACGCGTTTTGAGCTCCAGAGTCGCTAAATGGGACTCGAATCGAACGTGTGACCCCAACCAATGGATTGCTCTCCGAACGAGGATTCCATTGGTGGGGTCACACGCTCGGTTGGAGGCTTGTTTAGCGACTCTGGAGCTCAAAACGCGTCTAGAGTTTTGGTCGCCTCCATCGGTCTTCTGGCCCACTGGCTGAGGGGGCGGTCCACCTCGCAGCGGCCAGGCCGCCAGGCCAGGAGGCCGTGAACGTCCCTGCCGGGGATTTAGCATGCACCATTCCACCCTGATGAAAACCGGCACGGCGAGCGCGGCCTGTGCGCAGCGCCGCTCTTGATGGCGATGGCACTCTTGCGCGCTACACTAGGGCCTCGGACATTCCCCCCATGCTGCGTGGGCCGCACCGCGCTGCGCCTCGCCGCGCCGGGCCGGGCCCCCTTTAAGAACACAATATCACCTCTCCATAAATTGCAGCGCCCCCACCCCCTGGCGCGCCGCGCCACTGCCGCGCGCTGCTGCGCAACGCTTCGCCTCCGCCCACGTGGCCAGGCCCGACCTGGGGGCCCGGCCGGCCCGCGCGCACGTGCGCCGAACACGGCAGCACTATTTCACCTTCCTTCGCGCTCCATACATCACGGCCTAGTCCTCTGTTTATCGCCTCAAGACGATCGCCATCAGGAGGAAGAGAGGGAAAGGAAATCGCGTCACAAGCGGCTTACGCTTTCCGGGACGCCGCCGCCGTCTGGGACTCCCGGACCGTCCCGGAGACGCCGCCGCGGCCCTCGTGTATCTCGCCGTCGCAGGGACGCTCGGCCGCCCCCCCCCTCAGGCCTCTCACTCCGCGCTCTCAACACACCACTCTGTTCCCAGACTTTCGTTACCGTTTCCAGCAACTTTGCCGCAACACTCCTGTCAGGAGGTTCAAAGGCGAGGGGGTACATACCCTAACACAAAAACCGTACATTACCATTACGCGTCATTGTAATACAATTGTTGGGATAAATGTGCCAAATTTTGGCATTGTACAGTGGCGGGGCAGTGGCGGGGCAGTGGCGGGGCGGTGGCGGGGGTTTGGGGGGGCAGGGGGGGGGCAGTGGCGGGCGGGGGGGAGTGGCGGGGGAGTGGCGGGGGGCGGGGGTGGGGCGGGGGGGCGGGGGGCAGTGGCGGGGCAATGGCGGGGCAGGGCGGGGAATGGCCCTGGGGGGATCCCCCGGGAAAGGGGGGGGCAAACGGCCGTCCCGTGGGGGGCCCCCGTGGGGGCCCCTTGGGGGGGCTGGCGGGGCTGGCGGGGGGGCGCCATTCGGGGGGCCGGTTTAACCCCCCCTTCCCCGGGGAAAGGGCGGGGAAAAGGGCCCCCGCTGTTTCCCTGCCCCTTTGGGGTGGGGGGGCCGGGGGGCGATTGCCGAAACCCTTTTGGAAAGGGTTGGGGGGGGAAAAATTTGGGGGAAAAAAGCAAAACGGAAATGCGTGGCTGGCGTCCGGAACGAGCCTGTTTTCCGATTCGCTGATAGCCTGTCTCCGTTTTACTGCTTTGCTCCCCCGAAAAAAAAAACGAAAGCAAAGAAAAGAAGGTTTGTGGTTGACCTGTCTGCCTGTAATCCATTCGGGGCTGTCTTCCCCCACAATTTACGGAACGCCGGTCCGGAGCATTTTAAACACGCCCTCCTCCCTCTACTACGTGGCGAGCGCGACAACATAGGCTGACTGCGAAAAGTGGTTTTGTCGCTTCACTCATTGGGCGTCCCTGCGGTGCGAGAGAGACAGCGATGAAACTACTCTCGGGAATCGCTCGGCTGGTCGCTTCGCACTGCCCGCACTCCATTCCCCGCACTTGGAGGACTCCAAGTATGCATGCAGGCATTCGGGCCCCACACCTCGAGGCGCCCTGAGAATCTTCGCCGGCTGTCTGCGGCTCGCTGCGGCCCGGCTCGGAAGGGCGCGCGGCTCGGCACAGCGCGTACAGTCCGGTCCGGGGTGGAGTGGATGTGCCCCTCTGGCGGGCGGCGGTCCCGCGTGGCAAGCTTTTACGCGCCCGTTTGAATTATTCACGCTACTAAGCAGGGGGGGCGGGGGCGGGGCGGGGCGCCCAGTCTAGTCCTCGGGCCACTCCTTGTAGCGGTGGCGTGATTCCGAGCGCGTGCTGCCTGCTGCCGAGGAGGCGGCCGAGGCGGCCGAGGCGCCGCTTCGCCCTGCAGGGCGCGTGGCGTGCGGACGGGTGCCGGCCGAATCCTCGCCCGAGGTCGATATGAAAAATCCATGGTGCGCGGGGCGCGGGGTCAACGTCGGCCAACGCCGTTCGGAACGCCTTTGCCCCGCCAACTGGGGTTCGCCTCGGTCGTAAAGCTGTGTGCGAAGAAAATAATAAACCGCGAATCGCAGAGGAAAAGCTCTCCATGTTGCACATGCACTGCGAATAGCGTGTTGCGAATCAGATGCATTCTGAAATAGAACACTTAGGTCTCCGGTTAGCCTCACGTCAGTGTGCCGCGGCTTCCTCCGCGAGAGAGAGAGAGAGAGAAAGAAAGAGAGAGAGAGAGAGAGAGAGAGAGAGAGAGAGAGAGAGAGAGAGAGAGAGAGAGAGAGAGAGAGAAGGCTGCGAGCAGTGCCGGTCACGACACTCGGCCTGCATGATGCACAGCTCGTGCACATCCCACTCATTACTAAGGAAGCGCGGATGTCCCCACGCTGGACCGCGGAGCCTGTCGCTGCAGTGGAGCCCGCGGCCCGCGGCCTAGCGCTGCTCACCGGGAGAGTCCCTCGCGCCGTAAAGTGCCAGTGGATCTTCTCTCTCTCTCTCTCTCTCTCTCTCTCTCTCCTCTCTCTCTCTCTCTCTCTCTTTTCTCTCCTCTCCCTCTCTCTCTCTCCTCTCCTCTCTCTCCTCTCTCTTTCCCCTCCTCCTCTCCCTCTCTCTTCCTCTCTCTCTCTCTCTTTTCCTCTCTCTCTCTCCCCCTCTCTCTTCTTTTCTCTTCTCTCTCTCTCTCTCTTTTCTCTCTCTCTCTCCCCTCCCCTTTTTCCCCTCTCTCTCTCTCTCTCCCTCCCCCTCTTTCTACCGGTTCTCCACCTGGCCGCTCGCAGTGCTCTCCCGGGAAGGCCCCATCGTTATTTCGCGGCACTGGCCGGCACGCCACGGCAGGAGCCCTAGCCATGCCACGCCAGGCCACGCCGCGGCATCCGCTGAGGAATCTCGCACCTTCTCTCTCGCTCGGGCCGCGGGCCGCAGCGCTCCGCATCGGCTGCTCACCTCGTTATCGCCGCCCTCTTCCTCCGGCCGCCAAACGCCATAAATTTCTCAAGCTTTCGCTGAAAGCGTATTCCCGATATGAGCGGCGCGGCGGCGCGGGCTTGAGGCCCTTTCCTTGTCCTCCCTGCCGGCCTGGGCTAGCCCAGCTCCTGCCCCCCCCCCCCCCCCCCCCCCCCGTTGGGTTTAAACTGCCTGCAGCCCTTGCATTCGGCGACCTTGATAGCCCTTATCAGCCAATAGGGCTGGAGGCGCGCGCCGCCCGTTTTTACGACGAGCGCGATAGCGTTCGACTTGGGAATGACGACGGCCTCCTCGGTGTGCTTGCAGCTCGGTCAGGTCGCCACGACCCGGACGGGCGGCTGCGGTCGCTGCCGCGCCGCCAGCACCACCAGCAGTACCACGGCCAGCACGGCCAGCACGGCCAGCGCGGCGAGCACCACGCCCAGGCGCAGTACGCCGTGGCCGTGCCCGTGTCGGCCTACCAGGAACCCGTCGACGCGCCGCACCACACCTACCAGCTGCCCAGCACCGTCGGCATCCTGGGCCGGCCCGGCTCGCCCAGCAGTGACAACAACTCGGACGCCACCCTCACCGACTCGGAGCTCGCCCTGGCCAGGGACTCCACGCTGCTCGTCCACAATGGTGAGTCCTGCCTCCGCCTTGCTGTTCGTGTTGACGTCATCGGCCGTGCTGGCGCATCCCGGGGGGCTCCTCTGACAACTCAAAGACACCGATCGCGCGCCTCCCCGTGCGCACAGTGGGCCAGAAGACCGGTGGAGGCGGCAGAAATTCCAAACGCGTTTTGAGCTCCAGAGTCACTGAATGGGACTCGAACCGAACTTGTGACCTCACCAATGGATTCCTCGTTCGGAGAGCAATCCATTGGTGGGGTCACACGTTCGGTTCGAGCCCCATTCGGCGACTCTGGAGCTCAAAACGCGTCTTGAATTTTTGCCGCCTCCACCGGTCTTCTGGCCCACAGCGTGCGCCGGTTTCCTGGAAACAGGCTCCTCGTCCTCGCGCGTCAGCCTCTCGCAGCCGACTGCCCCCTTCCCGCGTTGTCGCGCGCCGCAGCGCGCCGCGCCCTGCGCCCCAGAGGGCCGGATGTCTTATTAAAATGCTGGTGAATTTGTCGGGACCTCCAAGGGCCCATGGCCCATGGACCGTGGGTGGCGGTGGGGCGGGGCGGTGGCTTTGGTCGAGGTGACACGCTTTGTCGCCGCCCCCGCCTCCCCCTGCTCCCTCTCCTCCGCCCCCTCACCCCCATTCCACTCGCACTCATCCAAGCAACGAGTCAAGCTGAGGCCCATCACGAACACGGAGCCATGCGCCCTGCTACGCAGTCTCGTTTTAATTAATTAGAATTGAAGTTTGTGGAAGGTCATTGTTTTCTCTTTTTTCTTGGCCTCTTCTGCCACTCTCCCGGCTTTCTCGCTGTCTCACTTGTGTGCTCGCTCGCTCGCTCCGCCCAAGCCTCTTGCGAGGCGCGCTGCCTGGCCCGGCCTGGACTCGAAGCGGCGAGGCGCTGCACAGTGGGCCAGAAGACTGGTGGAGGCGGCCAAAACTCTAGACGCGTTTCGAGCTCCAGATTCGCTTCATGGGACTCGAACCGAACGTGTGACCCCACCAATGGATTGCTCTCCGGGCGAGGAATCCATTGGTGGGGTCACGCGGTCGGTTCGAGTCCCATTTAGCGACTCTGGAGCTCGAAACGCGTCTAGAGTTTTGTCCGCCTCCACCCGTCTTCTGGCCCACTGTGCGGCCACCAACCTCTTGGCCTTCTTTTCCGGGCCGCTGCTAAATCCCAAATTGCGGACCGGTATCGCCGAGGCCGCCGAGGCGAGGCAGTCTCTCAGGGAGGGTCGTTCCCTTGATCCCGGCTGTAAAGTGCGGCGCGCTACGCTGCCCGTCTGCCCGGCCATGTCGCCGCCGGCCGGGACATAATAAGAACCGCGGATGAAGAGCCAGCGCAGCGCGCAGCACGTGTAATCTTGTCATTGTAGGTGTGTCTCCTAGAGGTGAAGCTTATGTGCCAGGGCCAGGCCAGGCCAGGGCGCGGCAGGCGGGCGACAAGGAACACGCCCCCGCCCCCGGCCCCTAAGTCAGCCCCCACCCCGGGCCGCCGCCCCCTACTCCTTATAAGGACCACTCTCCAGCAGCTGGCTCTCGCATTATGGACCTCGGTCCTCCAGCGGCCGGGCCGCCCTCTCCCCAGCTCCAGCGGCTCCAGCGCCCGGAGAACTTGCGGCGCGCCGGCCTGCCGGCCCTACACTGGAAGGAAAGCCTCGCGTCGGCCCGATTGGCGTGCCGTGGCCGGGCTGCAGTTTGTGGGCGCATGTGCGGCCAACGGCCTGCCGCCCTGCCGAGGCTTGTGCTAAATGAAAGGCCCTGCGCGGCCTGCCTGGGTCGCCGCGCGCAGCGTGTAGGGTGGTTTGTGTGTGGACACGGTTTGAGCTCTCTCGTCCAATCAAAGTCACGGTGCCACCGAATGGTTTCCTCGGCGCCCTCAAGCTGCCGTAGTCCATGGACTGTGCCCAGGCTGCAGGCGCGTCTGCACGTACACGCCTTTACCTTCCACGCCCCGGGCGGTAGCGGGCGGTAGCAGTGTTCTGCTAAAACTCGGGCCGTAATTTGTGCCGATGATTTAGCGCGCCACTGTTTCTCGCTCAGCCACTCCACTCTCGGCCGGCCGTGGCGCTGCGGCGTGTTTATTCTTTCGCGGACGGCGCGGCTAACGGACGCCGGAATATGTTTCATGCCCGGAAATGTTTCTCACTCTCATAGTCACTTTCTCAAGTTTATGGAAACTCCCCAATCTTTTCTCCCTCGGGGCAGTTTTGTTCCGGAGACGTTTGCGCGCGCGCCGCGGTCGGCCGGCCGCTCGCTGGCAGGGAAGTGGGAGGGGGAACTGGCGCGGGGGTTTTCAGTAAACTACAAAGTTTGGGGTCTTGAAAAAGCGCGCGCCGTAATGTCTGCGCAGGCTGCCTCGCCGTGCTGCGCCGTCGTGGTAATGACGGTCTTGTGCGCGGTGCGGCCGGCGGCTCGGACTCCGACTCTTTGTCGCGCGGGCCTCGGCTGCCCCCCACAGGCCCCCGAGGCCCCCGAGGCCCCCAAGGTGTGCGCGCGTAATCTCGCTGCACGACCTGCCGCGCGAATAAGGCGACCACTTTATGGCGGTGGCAGCTGCGTGCCAGCCTCTCTCTCTCTCTCTCTCTCTCTCTCTCTCTCTCTCTCTCTCTCTCTCTCTCTCTCTCTCTCTCTCTCTCTCTCTCTCTCTCTCTCTCTCTCTCGCTCTCTCTCTCTCTCTCTCTCTCTACGTGTGTGTGCGTGCTAGCGTGTACAACTTTGTTTTCGCCTGGTGCGCAAGGAGGTTGTGTTTGGCCCGTGTTCGGAAATTGGCGTGGTGGGGCGGGGCGGGGCGGGTACACTGTGCCAGATGCCTGCCGCGGCTGCCGCGCTCTTCCACACTTCGCCTGGCCTGGCCGTTTGATTTCTACTTTACGCCCCGTGATGAGGCCCGCCCGGTGCCTCCTCTCTCTCCGGACCCGCCTCTCCTCAGGAGGGCTGGGGTTCGACTTCGTATTTCCGTGTCGCTTTGGCGGGGTAGGTGGGAGGAGGTGGGTACCTTTGCTCCTACAAGGGTTGCCGCCCGGAGCGCGCACAGCACGGGGTAGTTTTCCTTTCCCTGTCCTCTTTTATTGACTGACCCTTCAGGCGGAGCCGACTGGCCGATCCGCAAGCACTGCCGCCGCGACCCTCGGGGCCCGGCAAGGCAAGGGCCCGGCAAGGGGCATGAGGCTGCCCTTCGCAGTCGCCGCGCCGCACTGAGCACCAGCCCTCCCTCTGTATCGCGTTCGGTCTGGATCAGTGCCAGGGATGCGCAAAGTTGCCGTAAACATGTCGCAAACTCATCGAGGAGGTCGCCCTGGATTCATGACTCCATTCATAACACCCGCCTCCCCGGCCTCGCCCGAGCGCCCTGGCCCGGCCCGCCGCCCGCCCGGACGGCACGCAGATAGATTTATAGTAAAGGGACACAATCCTGGGCCATTAAAGTGCCGTTTGTCGTCGCGAAAACTCGTTCGCGCTTGTTCATTCTTCAGCGGGGTCCGAACGGAAGCGAGTTTTAATCACCGGATGCGACGAGGGCAGCGGCGGGGTCGGCCTCGCGCGGCGCGTCCACTGCCAAAAGCAACATGCTGCAAATTACGGCGCAGAACCATGCAAGTCTTCGGTGGGGATGCTGGCGGTAAGGTCGCATGGGAACGAGGTCCAGTCTTCGGTGCGGTGAGGCTGGCGGAGGGGTGGGGGACTGGCCCACAGTGGGCCAGAAGCCGGTGGAGGCGGCCAAAACTCTAGACGCGTTTTGCGCTCCAGAGTCGCTAAATGGGACTCGAACCGAACGTGTGACCCCATCAATGGATTCCTCGTTCGGAGAGCAATCCATTGGTGGGGTCAGACGATCGGTTCGAGTCCCATTTAGCGACTCTGGAGCTCAAAACGCGTCTAGAGTTTTGGGCCCCTCCACCGGCTTCTGGCCTACTGTGTGGCCCGCGGTTCGTCAGGTCCAGGTTGGGAGCAAGCACCCCGTCGATGAGCCACGTGCGCGTGCTGGCGCCGAACAGTGCTCCGTCGCTCTGTCTCCCTCGCGCTCCAACAGCCCCCACGAGTGCGAGAGAGACAGGGCGACTGCCCTGCCGCCCTCCCCGATCACGTCTGCAGCACTAATGCCCACGGCGGGCCGCGCCCATCCGCGCCGCGCCGCCCGGAGGCCCGGAGGAGGACACTCCGGAAATTGGGAGAAAGGAGAGATCTGGGCCATCGGCTGGAAGGAAGGGGTGCCGGCCTGCCGGCGTGCCACGGGAGCAGAAATTACGAGCAAGGATTGCGCGACAAAAATTGGTCGAGGAGGGAAACTTGTTTTGGCTGTGGCGGTGGAAAGAATCTATGCATGGCAGTGGTGGTTGTGTGTGTGTGTGTATTTGTTTGTTGCGGTCGTTTGGGGGACGCTGCACGCGCTGTGCGCATCGCCCCGCCCCGGCTCGCCATATTCATTTTGTGACGCGGTGCGCGAAGGACCGCCGCCGGCGAGGGTCACAGTCGCCAAAACGTCGGCATAAATCTGATAAAATACGGGCAATTTCCTATTGGATCGCTGTATTTTTGACGGGGCTGGCGCGTGGGGGTTTGGGTGCACGGGGACCGGCCGGGGACCCAGTCCGGAGTGGAATCTAGATAAAATGACTCCGCCTGTTACGCGGCGCTACGCGGCGCGAGTGCCCGATGTATGCAAATTGTGACCGATATCTGCGTCGTTCCATCAGAGGGCTCCTCTCCTGTGGGTGCGGTGCGGCGCGTGGGCAAGCCAGCCAAGTCGGTCCCGGTCCCGGCTGGGCCCCTGCAGGCGGGCCACGCGCTGGGCGGCGCAGGCACCGCGTTGCCTACCCCGCGCACGGCAGGCGCTCGCCGGGCCGCTCCTGCTCATGCTGCTCGTTACGCTCGTTAGGGCTCGGCTCGGCCTGCAGCGAGACTTCCTGGCGGACACGGCTCCCCACTTATCGGCTTTAATTATTGCCGCGCGCTGCCGGGCACCGTGCTGGCGGTGGCCGTCGACACGGAGACAGCGCGCCGCGCCGTGCCAG